ACCCTGGGTTTAAGCATTGTGTTACTGGGATTGCCTCCCCACAGGTATCTGATGGATATGATGAAAGTGTCTGATGCCTAGGTAAAACTTATGCCTGTAACAAATGTCCTCACTGTTCAAAATGAAGGCAAGAACTAGACGTGACAGAGATCTCAAGCTGAAGCTTATAATGCTTGAAAATTCTTTAAGACCTGCCTCGGACCCTGGCCAGTCAGAATACAAGAAACACAAAGAAAAGGCACCCTCAAAGAAACAGTCCGCCTCCGTGCCGAATGCAACCCGTCTGCAAAGAGGCTGTCTCTGAAGCGTGTGCTGCCGGTCATATCTGCGGCACCATGCCTCAGCACCTTTGACTCCCCAAGCGTCTCCAGCACCACCGGCACGGTGCTTGCAAGGGCTGAGGAATCCTCCTCTTGCCTTCAGGCTTCCAGCCCGTGCCGAAAGCAGCACATCGGGGAGTAAAGCTGTCACTCTGCATTCCAAAGCCAGCACCACAATTGAACGCGCATCCTGCTCTGTACCATCTCCCCGCCCACTCCCTCAAGCAGTTCTGATGCTACTGCTGGGCTTTGCTCACACAGCACCGTCCACGCTGCCACAGCAATATATGCGGTAGAGCAACTTGCTGATCCCCTCCCACCCCTCCCCACACACACTCAGTTCTCCTACTTTGGACAACACTAATTTATCTGTTAAACCAGCCTCTCCAACAGGTCTATCAAAGCTCTCTTCCTCCTCATAGCGCCTGCATGGCCTTGACAACTGTGGTTCCCATTCTTGACCAGGATGTCCCTCAATGAACCCATCCACTTACGTCTCTTCCGGGACCTCCTCCTTCCACCGTTATCACAGACTAAGCCCCTGAACCTTGCCTCTCTCCACCTCACGGCTTGGCTCCTCGATGGCTCTTGGACATAGAGCTTTCGTGCTCCACCTATGCAACCATGGGACCTCCATCTGGTACTAAAAGCGCTTACGACAGCTCCCTTCAAACACATGGCTTCGTGCTCTTTGCTGCACTTGTCCATGAAGACAGCATTCCTCATTGCCATTACCTCAGCTAGAAGAGTTGGAGAAATCGCAGTTTTCATAGCCTATCCTCCCTATACCATTTTCTTCAAGGACAAGGTCACATTACGCACCCATCCCAGATTCCTCCCAAAGATACATTCCTCATTTCACCTCAGCCAGACTGTTCACTTACCTACCATTTTTCCAAAGCCCCATGCGAATGACTTTGAAACCAGGATGCATACCCTTGATCTCCATAGAGCTCTTTCTTTCTACTGCAGCACACCAAGCCCTTCCAATCCTCTCCTAGACTCTTTAACTTCATAGAGAATTCTAATAAGGGCAGCTCACTATCTTTGCAGAGACCTTCGCATTGGATTGCAGACTATATCAAACTCTGCTATGAGCAAACCTGAGTGGCTCTTCCGGATAGAATAAGAACTCATTCCACCTGGGCTGTTTCCACTTTTATTGCTTTCCTCAGGAAGGTCCCACTAGCAGACATATGCTTAGCCACTCCATGGTCCTCAGACCGGCAGGTATAAATATGCAGGCCACATTTGCATTCTTACAGGGCCCCCTATCAAATCTCAGATTCTCAAAATCTGTCTTATCCACTGCCTTCCTTCCTGACCAATAGTCCCTGCCTCCTTGAGGAGACATGGCTTGTAGTCACCTAATGTGGAGCACCCATGAGGACATTTCTTGAAGAAGAAAAAGAGGTTACCTACCTATATAAGTATCAGAGGGGTAGCTCTGTTAGTCTGGATCTGCAAAAGTGACAAGGAGTCCTTTGGCACCTTATAGACTAACAGATGTATTGGAGCATAGCTTTTGTGGGCAAAGACCCACTTCGTCAGATGCATGTAGTAGAAATGTCCAGAGGCAGGTATAAATATGCAGGCCAGAATAAGGCTAGAGATAACAAGGTTAATTCAGTCAGAGAGGGTGAGGCCCACTTCTAGCAGCTGATGTTCTTTGATATGAGCTTCTCCGTGGGTGCTCCACTACTCTGCCTTCCTTCCCTCTACTTTGGGGTTATGCTTGTCTGGCAGTGGACTCCGGGGTAGAGAAGGAATGGGGTGGGGAGGGAGGTTCATGCATGCTCAGTGTAGGCAGTTAGGGAGCGCGTGATGGTCTTGGCTGGTGCATGCTGGCCCAGGGGTACTGCTGTCAAAATCTCCATCACTGGGCTCGGCAGTGGTGCACCTAATGTGGAGCACTCATGGGGACACTCATCTTATAGAACATCAGTTACTGTAGAAGTAGGTAACCTTCTCCCTACCTCCCACTTTCCCCTAGCGGGGCTCGCCCCACAGGGACTCTCCCCCTCAATTCCTTCTGCATTTTATTTTATTTACTCCATTTTGAGGAAAATTTTCCTCAGAAACCTCCTGACAACCTTCCCTCCCCCCCACCCAATCAGGCTCATATACCAAAGTGGGCTGAGTTCAAGTGCCGTCTATTTGCTTCTTGTATCTTCCATGCCCAGAAGAGCGTTCATTTATCTCCACTGCCTGGGGGAGCACCACAACATGATTCATTGCGCTCATTGTCTATTGGTTGGTGTAGAGCTGTGATTGCAGTGAGATGGATTTTAAGGGAGTTCAGGGAAAGGCCCGAGTTCTTAAGCTCGACGATGTATTGCAGGACCGCAGGTAGTGAAGCTGAGGCTGCGTGGGTGCTGGACATCATAAAGAACGGGTACTGCATACCTTTTCTGTCCATCCCAAAACCCCAACCACCCATCCTATCTCTCTTCAATGACCCATCTCATGAGCAGGGCTCGCCGAACCGCGGCAAGCCTCGCTCGCCAGCCGTGCTGTCCAGCGATCTGCGCATGCGCAGATCATTCTGCGCATGTGCAGATCGCCCAAACCCAGCTCTTCCAGGTTACAATTTACTCGCCACAGGTGAGTAGATTGTATTATTTGTTGAGCCCTGCTCATGAGTATATCCTATGCCAAGAAATCGATCACCTGCTCTCCATCAAAGCAGTGGAAGATGTTCCCCATCAGTACTGTAACAATGGCTTCTATTCCCGGTATTTCCTCATGGCCAATATATTGGTGTTTATATACCTGATAAATAAAGGTTTCTTAAAGGTGTGCAAAACACCTACCTGCCCAACAAACCACCAGTCCCCACCTGGGACTTCAGTCTTGTTCTGAGGGCCCTAACGAGAAAGCCCTTTGAGCCAATGGCAACCTGCTCATTGCTCCACCTCTCCATGAAGGTGGCCTTCCTTGTGGCTATAACATCCGCCAGAAGGTTTGGAGAAATTGGGGCCCTCATGATGGACCTACCATTTACCGTCTTTCACAAGGACACGGTGGTACTTTGGCCTCATCCTAAGTTCATGCCAAAGGTCCTTCCGCGTTCCATTGCAATGAACCCATCAACTTACTTGTCTTTTTCTAAACCTCAAGACGAGGCGCAAGCGACGCTCCATACCCTCGATCCCTGCAGGGCAATCACGTTCTGCATAGCTAGAACCACGCATACCTGCAGAACCAACAGTGGTATTTCCCATTTCCTCTCAAAGACTCTCCAAATGGATAGTGAAGTGCATAAGAGTAGCATATACAGCCTTTGGCAAAGAACCGCCTGCACAACTTTGTGTGCACTTAGCCAGAGCCATGGCTGCATCAAGTGCATATATCCAGGGTATTCCCTTGTCAGATATCTGTAAATCAGCTACCTGGTCGTCCGCCCATACTTTTGCCACCCATTACACCCTTAACACATATCCCTCTAGGGGAACCCTATTTGGTCACTCCATCCTCATGGTTGTCCATAAGGACACTACACTGACTGAAGCTCCTACCTCCAGCAGACACACTGCTTCGTAATCACCTAAGGTGGAGCACCCACAGGGACACCCATCTTGAAGAACCTCAGTTACTGCAGAGGGTGAGTAACCTTCTCTCCTCAAATGCAGTATGAGATTTATAACTGTAAAGAGAGAATTTTCAGAGCCAATCATGGTGATTGAGCTGTTTGCCAAGGCCAAGACCTCAAAAGATCAAAAGACCTGACAACTTGAAAAGGGTTGGGGGAATGCTCTGTGTGCCATGAAGTTGACACACACAGACTGTACAGCAGGCTTGTGGAGACAGAGAGCCATGGTAATTAACTCTTAGAACTACAGCACTGGAAGGGACCTCAAGAGGTCATCTTGTTCCTAAATAGAAAACAGGCCATAATTTGATCCCCAAGAGAATGGGAGACACTGATGCTAAGTCATGTCTACTTAGGGGCTCAAGAGGAATGCTAAGCATGAATAAAATAATATGTGTATAGGGTTTATTGTTATTTTAATCCTCTTTTTTCTAGGCATTACGTATCTTTTGGGAAAATAAATCATACTTTGTTTTCTAGAAGCTCCTTCTGTGCCCCTAAATAGCGTTATCCATATAGCCCTGCATGGGTACAGAATTGGCATCCACATTTGAATCTGCATCTGCAAAAATGAATCTTGGATAGCCACATCCACATATGGACATAAAGTATATTTCTGTGGATTTGTAGGGTTCTAGTTATCCAGAAGCTGCCAGTGGAAAACCTTTCCAGATGCCAAGCCTATTAGGCCAACCAAGTAATATGGTTAGCAACCGTGAGTAAGGGCTAACCCAAAGGCCATGTTGGAGAATGGCTAGGCCATGAGGACCCATCCCAAAGAGAAGTGGAGGCGCCAGCCTGTCACTTAAGAGATGCACTTGAGGGACTGGAAAAGAAAGGGTCTCAGCAGCTACGTACTACCCGGGGACTCTGGTGTGCATAAATGTAATTTTTAAAATTTTTAGAGGGTAAGTTTTGGATAGTCAACTTTTCTTGACTATCCTGTTGATTCCTTTCAACTCTTTTTCTTTGAAGTGGATTTTTTTTTCAGAGGGGAGGGAAATTAACCTATTTTATGCTGTTCCAGGCTAGGTATAAATTAATATAAATAATTTTGCAACAAGCTATATTGCATATTTTTGTTACAGGGTTTTTACATACCCTTGTTTGTCAGCAATCCTTGATAAACATGAGGTAAGTTACAACTTCATTGTGAAGTATATAGATTTTACGTTAATACAACTAATGCATAGTTCTGTCTATAAGTAGAGAACAACTGGGAATATATAGAGTAAATCAAAGATTATTTTAAAGTGCTATATAGGCATCTTGTATGTGTTTTTAAAAATAGTTTAAATTACCTGCTTTTGTGTTCAATTGTTATAAAAATTATTTTGAGTCTCCTGTTCCTTCTAAGTTAATTTTTTTAAATATATTTTAGCTACAGATACCTTTGGATGAGAATCTTGAAGAATTTTGGATAGATTTTAACATTGGTAGCCAAAGTATATCCTTCTATATTGCAGCAGATGATGAAGTAAGTGACCTTTCATGACCAAGTTGAAAATATTTTTTTCAAACAAAGCAATCAGAAAAGAAACATTCTGAGCACTGCAGTGAAATTAGAGAGTATATTGCAAACCAGTACAGTTTATTTTAAAATAAATGCTAAATGGAAATACACAAATGGCATCTCACTTATTGTCTTAAAACATAAATATCAAGAGAAAATGTATGGCATTATAAACATATTTTATAATATGTTTATACACACAGTTTCCTATGTATGAGTCTTCCTTCAGATAGTGTCATTACTGACTAATCAGTTATAATACATTACAGGGCTACTCACCTTTGGAAGCCCTTGTGGCCACAGTGATACTCACAGCACATGCTGAGGACTGCAACTTAAGTGTGGTTGCATATACATGCAAATATAGGCAAGCAGCTTCTTTCACACTGACGGGCATGAAAACAAAGATTAAGCCTTAAACTGCGGCGCTGGGCCCAAACGTGGCCAGTGTAAGCCCATCAGCACCTTTCAGGTTCTGCCCACAAGGCTAAGCAGCCAGCACTTCCCAGTGTTGTGCTCCTTGCACCCCCTCCCTGGGGGCTAGAAACGCTGACACCCGTCTGTTCCAGCCAGCCCGTCCGCTTGCATCTTTAAATGCTCACCCTGTCTGGGAGACATCTCGCCATTGAGGAGCAGGCTCCCAGTGGAGGCCATGTTCAAAGGATCACACCCATGGGCCATGTGTTGAGCCCAGTGTAAACCCAAACTGCGTACACCGCGGGCCGCAAACAAATGGGCCACGGGCCACAAGTGGCCCGCAGGCTGCATGTTGAGTAGCCCTGTTCTATCACCTTCATGCCAGATCTGAGGTCCCTGCCTCCTTAGAATCATACAGTTTTGTTGTCACCTGATTTGGAGTATCTGTCTCAAAGAGGAGGTTACTCACCTGTGCAGTAAGTAACTCAGGATGAGTGTCCCCATGAGTGATCCACTACCCACCCTCCCTCCCCTTTACTTCATAGTTCTGGCCTCTTCAAGGGGTCTCTTTCCAAGGTAGAGAAGGAACTGAGGCACGGGGGGGAGGGGAGGCTCACGCATGCGTGGTGTCTGCACAGTAGGAGTGTGCAGCTACAGATGCTTGCATGCGTGCCCCAGGGACACTGCTCTGAAGACTCTGATTCTCAGTGGCGGAGTGCCAACCTGATGTGGAGCACCCACAGCGACACTCTTCTCGAAAAATGTCGGTTATGCACAGGTGAGTAACCTCCTCTTTCTGTGAGCTTCCTAAATTTTGTATTGCTACTTTTGCACACTTGCATTATTCCAGGAAGGACTGTGGGGATAGGCATTTTGGCTTTATCGACAAGGCATAGGCTGAGAGTAATACTGAGAGATGAATGATCTTCAGGGAAGACTGCATGCATTTTGATTCCCTTAGCATACTTGTACTGTATGATGCACAGATGAAGGAGAGTGTTTCCTATATGTATGACATTCTTTTCATATTAGATGTTTCCATTTTATTGTAATGGTTTGTAACTGTTGGCAGGTCACATATATTTATATTAAAATTTTTGAAAAATGTGGGAATACTTCATCACTAGGAAGACTGGGGCTAGGTCTAGACTGCAAAATTTTTGCAGAAAAAGCTATACAAAATGCGCTCTGCATTTTGCATAGCTTTTCCCACTTTTTTTCAGAAGAGGCTTTTCTGCCATTTGGCTCCGTCTCAACAGGGCCAAATGGCAGAACATCCTCCTCTTTTGGCAGAGCCTTTATGCCTTATGAAATGAGGTATACAGGGCTCCCCGAAAGAGTACATTTGCTCTTCCACACAAAAAAGCAGGAAAGCAAACATGTTCCTTGGACACGGCAGGGTTTTTGTGGGATACTTCTGGTATCCCGCAAAAACCCCATAGTCTAGACGTAGCCTGAGTGAGCATTTCAGAGGATGAAGAGATAGTCTTACAAAGCAGAGGGTTTCCCCCAACAGGTATGGATGTGATAGCTTCATGGACAGAAAAGGGAGAGGTCATCCTCAGTACTTTTTTAGATATCTGTTCATTTATTTCCTATTAGAGGTTAGCTATTCTATTTCGGCAGCCACTGGATGTGATACTGTTAGAACTTGAACTCTTCTGAATTTATTCTTTTATCTTCCTTTTCCCCATATTATCTCGCACTGTTGCCAGATTTCATCAGTCCTTGTACTGGTGAGTCTTAAGAGTACAGATGTGAGAAATATCTTTCCTTGGATAAAATTAGTTTCTGCATTTCATCTCCTGTGTTCAGAAGTCATTCTTTCTATCCATTCTACTTTGTTCTGAATTGGTGGATTTGAAATATTGATGAAAAACTATTATGTCACAAGCTGAGGTGAAAGTAAGGGTACGTCTACACTGCATCCCTAGTTCAGACTAGAGATGCAAATGGAGACGACCGAAGTAGTTAATGAAGCGTAGTTACGCTGAGGAGTAACGTTAGTTCGGACTAAGGGCTTTAGTCTGAACTAACACGTCCCAGCGCGCACTTCCTGGTTCGAATCAGCTGTGATTTGAACTAGCACGCTGGCGAGATCATGTTAATGAAGCATGGGATATTTAAATCCCCGCTTCATTAACTACTTCAGTCGTCTCCATTTGCATCCCTAGTCTGAACTAGGGATGCAGTGTAGACGTACCCTAAAAGGGTGCATCCTGGTGCGCACCTCTGACAAGCTCTGGCTGAGCTGTGGCAAAAGCCAGCAAGGAACTATTTAAAAAGCTGGCGATAGGACAGTACCTGTAAGAAATGTTTAGTTATTTTCACTGCTGGTCACAAGCGTCTTGATGTTCCAGGATATTATAGATAAAGAATAATTGATAAATCAATGTAAATGTGCATTGTTACATTTAATACACATTTTTATTTTCAAAATATCTTGTTTTTGTTTGAGGATCATCAATGGGAAACAGTTAGCATATCTGAAGAAGAGGTAAAAATGTACAGTCTTGAAGGTACTGAAATTTATTAATGTAATTTTATTCTTCAATTATTCTGTTTACCTAACTATATATTAATTTGGTATTCTGAATTACTCTGGATGAAATCCTGAAGTCCTTATTTAGTTCTTAAATGAGTAAAATTTCCATTGCTTTAAACAACTTCAAATGCATGCCATCTGATTTGCTTTTAGTTGTGCAATTGTTCTGTCAAATACAAGCTTAATTTGCTTGTGCACTTACTACAGCTGCGTACATATTTTGGGTGAATGTCCAGAAGTGGCTAATTGTGATTTCTTTGAAATCACCTGATTTGCATAATTATTACATTTGGACATGCACATTAAATATCTAATTTTGACTTTTTTCAAAATGTTATAATAGTATTTGTAAATATGTATTAGGAAAAGCCCACGGCATGGAAGAGCGATGCCTTATAAATAATAAAGCTGTTTGAATTCTGTTTTATTAAATTATTGCAAAATTTTGGAAAATGTAATGGTATTGCAAGGAGAGTTGGGAGAATAAGTTATCCAATTAACTTGTTCTGCTATTATAATTATTGTGACAAGAAATATAAATATTAATTTGGCTTGATGTATTCAATGCCTTGTAATCACTTAAACTTTTACAAAATAGGTGCATAATGTTATCAGATTGAAATTTTGTACCATGGATAACACTGTCAGCATTTTATACACATGTATCATTTCACCCAGCTGTGCGCAACTACATGAGGTGCAAGGCAATAAAGAATCTTGCTCTTTTTCTAGAAAATTATAAAAAATGTAAAGAATTAAAGCATACTTTCTACAGTACTTACTAATTAGCCTAAAAAGCATATTTTTTCAAATAATTTTTGAATGATAAAGTATTTTATGTGTTAGAAAAATAACTATTTATACAGATGAACATTCAGTTTAAATAAATGCAGTTTAGCTTTGATTAGGGAGCAACAGATGGGCAAATTGAGAACTCTGTGGTTCAACTGAGTTTTATGTTCTTTAACATACTAAACAAGAAGTGTTTTGAAGTCTAATGAATGCTTCATCTCTATGCAGAAAAGGAGTCAAAGAAGTTACTAACAATAATTCTAAAAAATCCAATAACTATGGGTAATCAAGAAGGCGAGCAGCTTTTCCTATATTTTGATCCTGTCTTGGAAATCATGGAAGTGGCCAGAAAGGTTTATGGTGCAAATAAATTTAAGGTAAGACTTAAATTCTCTTCCTTTTTCAGCATTTTCTGTCCTATTGAAACAAACAAAAAAACCCATTCCTCTGGAGCTGTAATTTTAAGATGGCTTCTTTCCTGATACTTATGTATAAAGATGCTCACTAATGTTTTCACAGTGGATGCTCCAGCATTTCCATTGTAAGTTGTTTTCTGTTGGGGATTAATAACTTTTAAAATATACTACAACTGAATTTTGTGAGCTATCATTGGTGTTTAATTGGAGATGCTAGACATTGAGGCCAAGATTTATAGTATTGCATTTCTGAAAAAAGTATGTGAGATTATAGGATGCATGCAAAAGCAGCAAATGTATGCATACAGATAATTAACTGTATTTGCCATGCATTTATCATTATAACAAACACAACCCTGGTAACTGTGCATGGAAACTAACAATTAGATACACAAATGCCTGCGTATTGGAACAGGGACCTTATTCCATTCTATTAATCTGAGTCTGAATTAATGTTAAACCAAAGAATTAGTTTAAATCCGAAACAATATAAACCACTGTATTCAGTCCAGCTAATATGCCTCAGTGTGATCTGGAAGTGTAAGTCTAGCTCCTTCTGCATACCTTTCAGTCTCTGGCCTGTTTACTAAGACCAGTATTAATTATCTTAATCATGATGCTTTTCTTTTTATTATGTGGATGCCTATCTACTAGGAATTACCCTATGATCTTCAATTTATTTTATGTAGGCTATAAACGAACAAAGAGATACTAGCTACTTTTAGTCAACGACTGCCCTACATCTGATATCTTATGTTATGATAACTGTGTCTCACACATCCGGTCTTTTTCCTACTCGCATGCGTTTACAGCCTTGCCATAAAAATTTACTGTAGACTAAAATTGAATACACAAGCTCTCTACCTGGAAGCAGATTTCTAAAGAAAGTCTTCTAAAAGTTTTCCTCCACTTCTAGAACTTCAGGCTAAAAGGACTAATGAGGAAGTGAGCTTCTTATTAATAAACATAAATTCCTCATTTTTTTTCACTGATCAGAATTAAAAAAACATAACTAATCCCTTTTTGCCACTCAGAGCTGGAACTTTATTTTTCTGTGCTGATTTTTCAATTCAAGTGCATAGGACAGCATGGAAGAGTATATTTCCAGAAATATCTGATTTATGATACAGTAGCAAAGTTGTAAGTATTTACAGCATCCCAGCTACATGTTAACATTGTCCAGTTGGGTTCATAGTCTATGCAGATTATTTTAAATACAAACAACAGTTTGGAGTGCTTGTGGTGGAAAAAAAGTCCATTTTTCTTTGATTCTTTCTTAGATAAGAAAAGGCCTTTCTGAACATTCCAGAGATGCTTTCTGAATTTCATTCTTTTTCTTTTCATTGTCATGTATTTCAGTGTACATATGAATGTAGACCACCTTACTATACAAATCATATAAATTGTCCTTCTCTGCATATGGAGGGAATGAAAGTTATCAAATCCTGGCTGGATCAGTCAGTCTGAGTAGGATACAGTGCTGTTTTGGTGGCTTACTTTCAACATTTCAAAAAGAAAAGTTTGGTGGTTTATTAAGTGATGAGCTTTCGTGGGCCAGACCATCTTGTTAATCTTTAAAGTGCTGCATAGTCATGTCTTTCGTTTCAGCAAGACCAGACTAACACAGCTACATCTCTATTACTATTTAACGTTTAAAAAGTTACTCTATAGGATGAGTTAGGGAAGGGAAAGAATAGTACAACAGATGTTATCTACATTACCTCTCCCATAAAGTAGTGGACTTTCTGTGAATAAAATAGTGCATTCTTTAGGAAGAAATTAATTAACCTCATTGTCTACATGATGCAGAACATTCTGTGAGGGGAATTATAGTACCAGTGGCTTCCAGAGGAATCACTGACAACAGCTACAGTAGAGCATTTGCTACCAAGAAGCAAGAAGTTTCTTTAACCAAAAACTATTGTGGAACTCCACATTGATGGCCATGTGCCTCTGGAGAGCCTAAGATTTTCTGGTTTGAAGACTGTAACTCCCTGTTACTTGTGTGGGTTAGCAAACTGCTGTTCTCGAAGTTCCATCTGATGGAAGAATTCATAAGAACTTCATTTAGTGCAAAGTTGATTTTTTTTCTCCCTAAATGAGAGTAATCGAGTTGGGGACTATATAACTGTATGACCGTAATGTTTTATATGTGATTCATATTGAAAAAAATTAGGAGGTTGAGTAAGTGTATGTTGTATATTAAGTACTTGTTTTTTAGGGATTTACCAAGAAGCAAGCTATATCAGTTGCCAAAACATCAGTTCATATAATTTTTGATGAAAGTGGATCACAGGTACATTATACAGTTCTGACTGGAAAATTATTTTAATCATGGGGATTTTCAGCCCCAAATCATGTATGTTTTCAGGGGATTTAAACAATTGAGGGGGGAATGAGGCTGTCATAAAGGGCTCATTGTGTTAGATGAATTTCTCTATTGGTTGAAGTCATCAGGATCCCACCAAAAGACTTAAAACATGGTATTTCTCTTATATGTTGATATTCTCCAATAGCCAGCAATCTGGTTGTTATAAAATCACCATAAGAACACATTTAAGTGTTAGAATTGGAGCCACTAGTTTTTCCACATTCATTAAATTTCTCACCAGTGGCAGCAATTGTGGGACTTATGATATAAATGGGGCTCCAAGAAGCTGCTGGCATTTTAACATCTAAGTTGTTTAATACTTGTATAGCAGGGGTAGGCAAATGAGTAACTCTGGCAGACACCAGCGCACTGTTTGCAGTAGCATTCTAGTTGTTGATATTACAAGTTGACTTCTACCACTATAAGCAACATTGGAAAAATTTAGGAGGAAAATGTACTACAGACAAGGTCAAAATATACAGTAGTAGTAAGTGGGATGAGGAAAGCATTAAAACTTTGAGTCAGAAACTCTGAAAGCAAACCAATCTGAATAAAACAAGTAGTCTGTAGCACCATAGGGTATGTCTACACTACCCTCCTAGTTCGAAGTAGGAGGGTAATGTAGGCATACCGCACTTGCAAATGAAGCCCGGGATTTGAATTTCCCGGGCTTCATTTGCATAAGCGGGGAGCTGCCATTTTTAAAACCCCGCTGGTTCGAACCCCGTACAGCGCGGCTACACGGGGCTCGAACTAGGTAGTTCGGACTAGGCTTCCTATTCCGAACTACCGGTACACCTCGTAGGAAGCCTAGTCCGAACTACCTAGTTCGAGCCCCGTGTAGCCGCGCTG